CTGGGTCATTCCTAGCATTCGGTGCCATTTCAGCTAGGGTATTCAAAAAGAAAAAACATAATTTTCCATGTTTTAAAATTTTTTTTAATCTGAATGATGGCTTGTTAAAGTATAAGAAAAATATTTTGGTCAAGCTCAGGATATTATGCTTAAACATTTTTATTTTTTTTACCATCCCCAGTTACTGTGAAAAATAGTAACAGGGTTGACATTTTATGCTAAACTTGGCTATTGCTACATGTGTGATGATAATCAAGCTAGCACTTGGTGACAACAGAAACATATATTTGATAGATATATTCACCATATTTTCTAAATGTAAAACAAATGATCAGTTCCACTAAAAATGAGCATAACAGAGTGGACATTTTATGCTTTACCGCAATAGTTAAGTTCTTTAAAACATTAGAAGAACGTTGAAGGAAGAACGCATTCACTCTGCTTCTTGAAGATTATTTCCCACTCAAAATGTATCCTTCTTCTTCTTCTTGAGTCATACAAATAGTAGAATAGTAAAGGGGCGTGTCCAGAGGGATTCAAATCAGAGTAACAGGGGGGACATTCAAACAGGGGACACACACTTTATTTTCAATACAAATGAATTAATAACAACAATTTCAATTTGGTGAGGAATATTAGCATAAGGGTCATACAACACTCACAAAAATGTAGAATTTGTTTGTATTTATTGGTTTCTTTTTGTATATCTGTTACAGAAGTTGAGCAAACATGATTGGGGACACAGCAATTTGGCCTACTTGTGCTAAAATCAGAGTAATTATTTAGAATTTTTAATATCCTGGCTAAATAACATTGTTGTTTTATGGTAGAGGGTATAAACATTTAAAACCAAGCTTTTACAAAATAAGCATTAGACCTTTTTAAATCCAAAATATATGATATAATGTGGTGCAGGGACCTAAATGGCACCGAATGCTAGGAATGACCCAGCTAGCCATTTACTGTAATGTTGTGTTACATGTAGAGCCCCTTATTCAAAATATGATCTGATCGATGTTGATATGCTTTTGTTGTAAGGCACATCCCTGAATTTTTCCATTAACAGAAAAAAGGATCATATCAGCTCTCTCTCAACAATTTAAGTCACAGTGGCAGTTTTTCTTTAATATCAAGTATTGCATTTCCATATATTGAGGGGCTTGCTGTTGTGAAAATGTTGTCATCAGGGTTGTTATTTCCAGACTTTGGTAAGCGTTTGAAAAGCTTTAGAAGACATTGTTTAACTTTCTTCAGGTTTAATAGAACCTCATTAGAACTAGAACAATATCAAGGATAGAAAGAATACAAAACATTTGAAAGTGTATACTTTTACTTTCAATCAATCCAATCCAGATCTTGGAAGATTTAATAATCCATATTCAATTGGATGTGTGTTTCCCTCTCCTGTAGTGTGCTATATAGGTTTGTGTGTATGTCAATGGTCTGCAAAGGCTAAAATCCCCAGTAAGAATGTGTTCAACCCCTTTGTTTTGAAAAGGAAATATAGTTTTTCTGTTATTATTTATATATAGTGTTGCCCCCACTTACTTTTCTTTAAGAACTTCGTAAGTTATTGATATACAAAGGATCCTTTTTGAAGGTATATTATTTACCCTTAAAAAAATGCAGTTTCAAGAAATCAACATATGGGACCCTCATCAAGGAGCCTTGTGTTTTGAAAGTACACTTTTTTTTATGATAACTGGGTCAGTCTGGCTCAGCTGCTCTCTGTGGTTTTTCTTTTTCTTTGTTGAAACATTTTTGAGAATGGGTGGTGTGTCATATGACCCAGTCAGCACCAAGGAGGCGGGTCCCAGTGACTGCTCACTCAGCAAGGAGGAGGCAGCCTGCGTGTTCTGGCGGATGGATCACAGGAACACTCAGTAGGACACTTCTGGTGCCTTTTTGTTACTTTGGTGTTACTGTGCATGCTATTTCATTGTAGCTGCGTGTATTTAAAGTTGTCTGAGGTCATTTTGTAGTTTGGCATGTTTTTCAGCTTAGTGCATGAACACAAATGCCAGATAGTGTCATGCTTTTTCATTATGCAGCCTTTCCTGTAACTTAACACACATTTGTTCTAACGCCAAGCCCAATTTGGCACACTTTACGCGCTTCATCCCCTACATCGCCAGCGTAATTTGCGCATCTCCAAGATGAGCGATAGACACTTACGCTACACTGCAAAAAATATCCATCTTAACTAATTATTTTTGAATTAAAATGTGTTCTTTAAAACTTCCTGCGACAAGTAAAACTGTATTCTCAGAACATGTATTCCTGGAAAAAGTTTGATTCAGAGCCCAAGTTACTTTAAGAAAGTTTGGTTGGTCATTTCTTGCAGCGTCGGCAGTAAAACCACGTCATTTTGTCAGACAACTCCCCTTTTTCCTCCCTGCTGGACCCACATCCACACTTTAGGAACAACTGGATAAAGAGTTTTTGGATCCGAAAAGCAAAATCATGATGACGGGATTTCGACTAAACCTTTCCCCGCTGAAGGAGCCGCTGGGCTTCGTCAAACTGGTGGAGTGGGTAAGTTATATACTGAGTGTGTGTGTGGCTGTGTGTGTCTGTGACATACCCAGAGGACAGGGAGGTCCAGTCATTTTCTAGGTCCTTGGATTTTCCCTTTTCCCCGGCGATTTTCACTTATGGGAAAACATCTCCAAAGTAAGAAGTTTGAGAGGGAATTTATTTTAAGAAAATGCAATAAGGAAACATATTTATACATTCCCCCTTTCTCATTCACTTTACTGAATGAATAAAAAGCCTGCTTTAATGTGATTTATTACATAAATAAAGCTTAAGATGTACACTTTTTCCCACAAGAATGAACATCATTTATTATGCAATGCATTAGATATGCTTTATCACAATATTTAACACTTTTTAATAGGCTATAGCCTGTATAACTTAACTTTATTTGTCTGTCTATTTGTTGTAATAAATCCAGATCTTCAATATATTCATAGAATAGATTCAGATAAATAGTTTTCTTATAGATTTTTGTATTTACTTCTCTTTTAATCTTATTGTTATCTTTGTGCTGCTGCAACGACTGTATCTCCTCCCCAGTGGATCGATAAAGGGTTATCTTATATTGTATGGATTGATGGTGTGGATCAACTGTATGACAAAGTAATCTTTGCTAAAGTGAGTATATCTCAGTTATGTCCGGTGCACTTGGAGCCTGCGTGGGCCTGCCCTTCAGACAACACAGTTACAGATTAATGCATCCCTCAGCAATAATTTACCTCTGAGTAACTGTGCACAGTTGGCTGCTCCTGCACTCGAGCAAACAGTTTGTGGTTAATGAGAAAACACGCTGCGGCTTCTAATGGAAAGTCCGGTAATCGGTTCTCTTAGGGAGCTGGGTCAGAGGAACAGTGTGGGGCGACAGTCTCTCTCTGCTGTTCTGTTTTCTCAGAGTATAAACACATAGCGAGCTAAAGAGCAGCACACATGTCACCTGACTCAGGACAAAGCTGTGTGTTCCACTCTGTTGGCCTTAGGTAACCCTGTACACATCATCTGTGATCCCCAGAGGTCTGGATGATGAACTGTGTGTCCACATTTCTGCTTTAATGCTGGGAACGTATGTGGTAATACAGGCGACACAGCCCACTTAATATTGTGTAGCAATGACTAAAACACATTAAAGAGTGTATTTTATTCAAATGTTCAGGGTACATATTTGTATTTAGTTCCCCTACATGTTTACACACTTTAATATTCAAAAAGCTCTTTATTCTTCAAATATTGCCTGTGCTGCAGCACCTCTTTTCACCCTCTGTCTGAAACCAGAGTCTGCTCTGATTGGTCAACCACTTAGAGATGTCCCGCCCCTTGACCTATCAAGTAAAATATGTTGGAGCGCTAGCCAATAGAAGCTGAGTGTTACGTAGTGATCTCACTATGTTACAATAATCCCTTTGGAGGGATTTTAGCCGTTGCAGACCATTTACATGCACTAAAACCTATAACACACTAAAGGAAAGGGAAAACCCCCAAAAAGCAGTATGTCAATGATATTGGAGGGTTTCCAGCGGGTTGTATTGGCTGAAATCCAACATTTTGTTCTCCATTTATCCTGCATACCTCTGAGGCGTGTGTACTTGGCACTAGACTAGAGCATACTTGTCAACCCTCCCGATTTTCGCGGGAGACTCCCGATTTCATTGCCCTCTCCCGGTTTCCTCCCGGGGTCATATTTCTCCCGCATTTCTCCCGATTTCTGACAAAATCAGATTTACACACGACTGTTTCCACTCGGACTTTAATACAGCTACACCATTGTTTGGTTTCCATGGTAACACGTCTCTTTCGTAGCGCGCGCAACTCAAAGTCTGAGAGGGTGAGGCAGATATTCACAGAAAACAGAACAAGAATCGACAACTGCTCTACTCTCTGCTCACTCCTTTCCTGTAAAATACAGGACCAGCCCACACATATGCTCCATCAAGGACGGTGCTACAGAACGAAAGTCAGTGCACTTACAACTACAATAAGCATGTTAATGTTAATCTAACAGCTCCGGCGATCCACTAGCACCCCCCTCCCCTCGCCCCCCCAATTTTGCATTTTGAAATTCTCCCGATTTCTGAGGTCTAAAGGTTGGCAAGTATGCACTAGAGTGGTTTAGCCTCTCCACTCCCTCGATATTATCTTCCACACATTAGTAAACAGGAAGCTGGGTCGAAGTAACAAACAAGACAAGACTGCCCCATTCACTTACGATGTTGAATAATGATGATAAAGGCATTTCTCATTGTCAGGCCTCTCTGCCAAAACAGGGAGAAACGGCTTCATTGGGCCTCAGAGGGAAACAGTAACACAATGGACAGATGCCCCAGGAGTCTTTGGTCAGTCTGTGTGAGAAAAACTGATGATTATTCAGTTTGCAACAAGATTTGTGTCCGTCTTAACGGCCCTTCTGATCAAAATCAATGTTTTAATGTCCTTTATTTCTACTTTTCATTGTTTGCTTCACGTTCACTAACCTGCTAATGCTGTCACAGCTCAGTTATGCGTAAAGACTTCCTAGGATCTTATTTGCTAGTCTCTGGAATGTCCATAAATTAGGGCTGTGTGTTTTCCAGATGTGTCGGACGCCTTAGATAAAGACTTATAATCAGTGACCATGCCCCACAGTCTTTGGAAGTCGCCATGTATGGAGAAGTTGTCGCCTGTTTTAGGACTACATGGTGATATTGGAGACTTGACAAATACCCGACATTGTTTGTACAGTTAGGATTTATGCTCTGTTTAAAATGAGAATATAAACATAGACTTAAAAAATGTCGAGGTGTGTGTGCTCGGTCCATCCTGGTGCAGTTAATCACGCTGAGGATCCATGACCTTAGTGACAGAACCAGGGGAACAAAAGTGTGTGAAAAGTAGCTCACAGTGGGTTTGTAGCCAGAAACACAGGAAGTGACAGCCAATGACATCTGGAGAAACATCTGGAGAGAGGCCTCAAGGTGTGTGTGTGTGTGTGTGTGTGTGTGTGTGTGTGTGTGTGTGTGTGTGTGTGTGTGTGTGTGTGTGTGTGTGTGTGCAGTAAGTGTGGGTGTGCATGATGTGGGTTTTGCGGAGTGAAGTTCAAAGCTAAAAGTTGGGTCGGCCTGTCGTAAGCATTTTTTAAGAGTGAGAATGTGTGAGACAGTTGTGCTGATGCAACACAATTGAAGTGGTCGGTTACATGTGTTTTGTCACCTTGTTATGTGAGGCGTGAAACAAAAAACATTACCTTTTCATGTCGGGAGGTAGTGATTTGTCACGAGGTAATCAACTTCCTGTCTATAGAAAAGCTTCGGATTCAAGCGCTAATGAACAAAATCTCAGTTGTCCTAATTTCGCCATCATGTTGGTGGTTTTTCTGAGATAAAGGGGCTATTTTTGATGTGTTCTGGGAGCTATTTGATTATTCTTGAGCAAAACATATCATTCTACTGCAGACTTACCTCAGAAACACACTCCAAATGGATGCTAATGTTGCACTGTGTGTGTTAGATGTGCAAATTGGCAACTGTTTGCTAGCAAGTTCACCTTATCTAACGGCGTTATTAGGTCAGTAATGTGTTCAAAGCTTACTGTGCTGCCCCCCGGTGGCCAAAAAAAGGATTGTTGTTGTTGATTTAAAAATCTGTATGATTTACACATAAACCGGCCTCCAGTTTCCTAGCACAGTGTTTTTCAAAGTGGGGGGCCCCGACCCCCCCGGGGGTCAAAGTTTGAGGGAAAGGGGAATCTTTTTCTTTTTTTTTTAAGTTACATTTATTTTTTATTTTTTAGATGTTATTAATAACTGCATATCTATCAATCTATGTGTTCTCCTTTGATGCCAATCTTTTAATATTTTTTATTCATTAATATTTGATTTGATTGTTTTTAAATCTCACGACCGCCCTTCAAGCCAATCAGAATCGAGCTGCGAGAGTGAGAGTGAAACTGAGTATCTGCTCAGCTTTTGGAGCAAGTGAGAGCTAGTGAATATTTCGCTCTGCAGCTGGATGAGAGCACGGATGTAGCAAATATTGATGTTTATATATATGAATATAAATATGTTTATTGTTGAATAATATATATATCATATTATTAAGGCATAAGTAATGTAGCTTTCAAAAATGCTAAAAATATATGTTAATTGTTCATATTACTGTTCAAAATTATATTATAAAGACAGAAATCACTTTAAAAATGCTTTAAAAATATGTTTACTGTTGATATTACTGTTTAATTAATTTAATTAATATTGTGTTAAGAATGTTTATAACAGAAGACACAATCAATGTAATGAATGACAAACAAAATATAAATACAAACGTTTTTTAGAATAATAGCTGATTATTAATTATTAATACAAATATATATTAAGAACATTTATTAAGCTGTATGATTAATTTGTCATATTTTCTATCATAATGTACTCATCATTTAAAAAAAAAATTGCAACAGGGGGGTCCCCGCCAGAGGATAATGCTATATGAGGGTCCTTGGCATGGCAAAGTTTGGGAACCCCTGTCCTAGCACACGTGATTACAAAAGGCGTAAAATGCCTGTTCTGTGAGTATTTCACATGTGATCTTTAATCTTACACTAAAACTATTGCTTTCAACTGACCTAATACAGTCATGTGAAATATGTGGGCATAATACATTTAATTCAACTTAATGTTTCCGTTTTTTCAGTGTATGAATAGCTGTATGTTGTACTTAGATGCTCGGCCAGGATGTGTGATGACGGGCAGAGACTTAAAGCTGTGCATGTCTAAGATGTGTGAAAACTGTCAACACATTTTGAGGAGAACAGATCGGATCTCTGCAGTGTGAGTGAAGCGATACCACTGGGAGTCTGTGAGCTCATTACTCTGGAATAAAATGAGCGGCCTGCTGCAGTTTGAGGGTTAAGCTTAGCAGCATACAAGAATGTATAATGTGTCGGTTTTAAGGAAGGTATTAGTGTCACATGGCCTATACGCTGAATCAGATGCTTTAAGGGAAATAACTCAACAGCTGAATGGCAGCATTGGTTCAGCTATGAGAGACACTTTTGATGTTATTTGTTAGAGAAACCATCTACCGAACCTTCTCAATCATTTGTTTTCTTACTGATAATACATACAGTATGCCAGATGATCAAATGTGGAAATTACAGGGGAAACAAATAGAAAATGATACAAAATAAAGATGTTGTTTTGAGATTTTCGTTATCAAAATCAGAATCAGAATACCCACAGAGGGGACATTTAAATGTGTGACAGCAGAAAAGAGCCAAAGACAGCTTAATGTTAACTAAGAAGCATGCATAAATGGACAATTTACAAAATACACATCCTGTAACATTTCTGAAGATTTAGCAGCCAGGTATGTATTGCACAGTTATCAACAGCATATATATATATTGCACATAGCTGGTATTTAACAAGGGGGTGTTATAGACTGTGTTGTTGTGTTAGAGCAGGGGTGTCAAACTCAAATACACAGTGGGCCAACATTAAAAAAATCGGTTCTAGTCGAGGGCCGGACTGGTTCAATGTTTATTGCAAAACGTATTGAAATGAACTTATTGCACATATTTTTTTCATTTCATTTCAATCTTTATTTCGAACAGATTAAAAGAAAAACAGATTACCGTATTGTTAAAATACAGTATTTATCCACATTCATGATAATATTTATATATTCAACAAAAAAAGTCTTCATATTAATAATAAATCATAGTACGTGTCCGAAAGGGAGCAGGAGGAAGCAAATGCTTATTAATTCCCACCCCTTACTTGATCAATGATTTTCCTTTAAATCATTATGCAAGTTATTCCTACTTACATTTATACATACAATATTAAACCTGGAACTAAAAAAGCTTAAATGATTGCCTATTAAACATTAAATAATCAGTTGCATTCATTTCTTATGGCTCTATCTGCAGCTTTTCCGGACTCATTTCTTAGGATCACATTTTCCCACAGGCCAACAACAGCTTCAAAAAAACAATTTCCCTCAAAGAGAAATCCAAACAAGCCCTGTTGTCTCAAGAAAGAAAGTGCAGAAGGAAACATCCATTAAACTCAGTGTGCTGCTCTGTGATGCTAGTTCAAGCAGATACTTGGCATCTCATCTCGGTTACAAGTTCATCAATGTTTGGGCTCAGGCTCTGAGCTGAGGAAATATACCAGCAGGCCAGATCTAATAGTAATTAGAAATTATCCTGCGGGCCGAAATTAAATCCACCAAGATTTGGCCCCCGGGCCTTGAGTTTGACACATGTGTGTTAGAGAATACAAATAAGAGCAGCAACAGATTTATCTTGTAAAAATGGTTGAGTAGTGAGTTTTATTTTTCAGCTGTTAGTGGAATGAAATGCCGGCCATCTGTTGGTCCCTCTGGCTCTTTCTGCTGATGCTGGGATTCAGTCTGCCAACTTTCTTCTGGTGGGAAGTTCTTCTGGTGACATATTTCGGCACTTTTAAACGGTTTTGTGCAAAAATACATGTATGTACGGTAGGAAGGAAAACAATTCAATCATGGTTGTTTATGGTGTACTTACTTGTATTTACCATTTCATTTATAGTAGATAGTGTTTTTGCATTAATTTGTGAGGATTGTATTGATTATTCTCTCCATTTAAAACATTTTTAACATTTAACCCTTTTTAAAAAGTCCCTTTGATTGCCTGTAAAAATCAACTATAAAGTGAACAAGTTCTTATCTTCACTAACAGATATTCATTCATTATCAACATTAATGTCTGTCTACATAATGCCACTGTTGTTTTGATATGGGAACACACAATTCTTTTTTTAAATTCTGTTTTGAATAGTAAATGCTTGGGGAATACTTTCACGGTCTATGATATGGCAATAATTAGCAACAACATTGATTTCGGATGCATTGCACCGAACACTCCAAGGCTCTATGATAAATTACCGAAGTGAAAACCAAGACAATTATGAATATGTATTTTCCCCATAGGGCACACATTAGAATAAAGTACACATTACACTTTTGAAGCCAGGGCTCTAGACTGAAATTGTGAGATAAGAATTCATAATTTCATGCAATAACTGTGGGAAATATTGTGGTGTCAATGGGAACATGTTGTCCTTTTTTATAGAATGATTATACCATAGGAGCAGAGGTTGACCTTCCACAAGTCAAACACAAACTCATCCTTGCCTAAATGTATGCTATGTGCATCAACAAAGCCCAAATGATTGGAAATATTCACAAAAAGCCAGGAATAGTGATCTCAGAGTTTCTTGATTTGTGTATAATTTTCTCACATAAGTGTTAACCATCTCTCCAATGTCCCTCTCTCTCTTCTCTCCACAAACAGCTCACGGCCATATTTGCTTTTGGAAGCTGTAGTGGATTCTCAGGGAAGAACATCATGTCTCTGTTCTGCGGCGATGGCAGGAACGACACGCTCGATGCGAACTTTCACTACCCGTTCAGGTGAGAATCACATCTCTTTTTGGGGATTTTTTTTTACAAATTCAGTAGGATGTGAGTTGAACCTTCAGTCTTGTATTGTTCCCAGGTTGAGCGCGGTCCCGCTCATCGAGGGGAACGCCACTCTCTGTAACCAATCAGCCACCACCACACACATGGTGGGAGACTCCGCCTCCTCCGTGGAGTTCTTTGTGGGCGTGGCCATCGTCTGCTTCCTGTACAGCATGGTGGCTCTGCTGGTGTATTTGGGCTACATGCACGTCTACAAGGACTCTGACTTTGGACCCATCTTTGTGAGTATTGATCAAGCTGTGAGAGAGACTTGTAGCAAAGCACTTTGAGCACCAGGAAAAGCGCTATATAAATCACATGTATTATTATTATTATTGTTATTATCTTTGCACACCTAAGCACCTCGGACAGTCCTTTATACCAGGAGTTTAGTTTAGTTTATTTGTTTATAGTGTCGTTAAAATTAATTTGACTGTTATTTTGCCGGCTTGAATATGTTGACCACTTAAGAGTCTCGAATAAAGGAGTTCTGTTCAGAAAGTGCAGTTCAGTTCCATTTATTTTCTCCAACTCATGGTTTCTGCGGTTTGGCAAAAATCTCAGGGACGCATGAGAGAGCAGGACTGTAGAGGCTTTCCTGCTAGTCCGTCTGCTCTTTAAGTAGCAGCAGTAATCAGTGTTCACCTGAGTGTGTCCTGATCACAGCTGCTGTCACTTTCCCAATCAGGAGCATTTGGTGAGAGGCAGGTGAATGTCCATTAGCCCTGTAGGGGGCAGTGTTTGGGCAGCCCAGGGAATTCACAGCAGACGCCCCCGCAGTAGCTCGGCTGCTGTGAAAGATATGAAATCCTGTTCAGTTAGCTAGTTCAGGTAAGGATATCGAGCGGCCCACTGGCCGAGTGTAAGTTCTGTCTTGAACTACAATGTCAGCTGACCTGACACACTGGTCAGGGCTCGAATGCAGCCTGGTAACCTTCCCTACTGGCCATTGGGCCCTTGGCAGTTGTGGATCCATTATAAGAACAGCCGTATCCAGTTACAAGTTATCCGATGGCTTTTCCCATTTCTGCCGTGATTGCAAGGTTAGCAGATAGTCCTTGATAAAATGGGTCCATAATTGATCAGCCAGTATTTGGCTCTGGCGCCACCTACGCCGCCCCATTGGTGCGTAAGCAACTTGCGGCAGGGAAACGTCACGCCACCCCATCAGCAGCATGTTCGGAGTGATGGGGTCTAGGTTAGCTACATCAGATGAAGTGTAACCAAGTGGTTTTGAGTTGAGCATACCCTCAACCTCAACCAGTACAGTGGCAAGGACTTCTTCGGACACTGGTTGGCTTCCAACAACACCCGAAGCATTCTTAAATGATCTGACCCACCCTTTCCCACCACCACCGTCCAAAGGGGGGGGGGGGATTAGGAGGGTTGAATTTGAAGGTGAGTTGGTATTGACCTCTGTCAATACCAACTCACCTTCAAATTCAACCCTCCTAATCCCCCCCCCCCCTTTGGACGGTGGTGGTGGGAAAGGGTGGGTCAGATCATTTAAGAATGCTTNAAAAAAAAAAAAAAACCAAAAGTCAACTTAATATGAATTTAAAGTCATAAAAAAATAAATCGTTTTATTTTGATTACGTTGTTTTCGCACTCGTTGCACGCCATAATCGTAATTGCGATTAAAATACAATTAATTGAGCAGCTCCAACTAACACAAATGGAAAGGTGTGGCTGTGTGTGAAAACCGGCTTTTAAGTGTTATTGCAGTCAACAGCTTGTGAAGTCGTTAGGGTTAATAACTTTTTTAAACGTAAGCAGTAGAACACTGCTGCAGGGTTGCCAAGTGGTTTCTGCCCAAACACATGAAACCTGTTATCGTTTCCTTTATTTGACATTTTTCTTGTTAACAAACCACCAGGCTAAAACATAACATGGCAATGACGAAAGAAAAAAGCAAGAATGCAATTTCCTCTGCGTCTGCCAAGTCAAATGCAAACTAAGTGCGAGGCTTATTTCTGCAGCCGGAGTTGTGTGTGTTTCTCCAGCCAACAGCCACACGCTGCCAAATGACTGACAGGCCTGAAAATGAAGTCCAGAAACATCCGTCACTGGTGAATACACATGTTTAGAGCTACTGAGACAATCAATCATTGGACACTGAGTACACTGAGAGTAAGTAAATCAGCTTCCCGTTGAGGAGAAGCAGTCTAGACACTTACAGGTAAACAAAAAGAGGTTTGAAATGGAGAAAGAAAACATGGAGGTTATCTGCTGAAACTGAAACTGAAGAAAGAACACAGTAACATGTTCTGATGAAATGACCTATTAACCGTTATGATATATCACCGTTTCAACAGATCCAGAGGAGGGCTCCAGCTTCAGTAGATTTTCTAACAGGCACACCAGATAATTTTTGGATCTGCACCAAAATGTCCTGCAGAGTAAACAAGCTTATTAGCAGCTGGCGGTAGACCTACAAACGGTTCGGCTGTTGCTGAGGAGGTAGAGCGGTCATCCACCAATCAGAACGTTTCTTATCCATCTTCTCTTGATAAGAGGAAATTGACTTTAGCCGCAGTAGTTATAAGGCATGTCCGTCACAAGGAGAAGCTGAACCAACGTGCTGGGTAACGATCAAGAAATCGTCGTTTAAGAAGTCAGAACCTCCCATTTATTCTCAAGGTCAGAATTATATGATTATGAAGTATAAAAGCCAGGATAAAAAATGAAATCATTGCCAGGGAATGGTTTTACTGATATGAATTTCAAAATGTTAAACTAGACTTGTAGACGGACTAAATCAACTTCAAGGACGAGCTAATTCCAAACGTATGTCTATCTAAAAAGGGGTTGGATTCATTCACACATTATTATTATTAACACTTTCAGTTTTTAGGGCTAAATCTTACATTTATGTTCACTATCTACAATCTTGAGCCATGGTTTGATTATCAAAAAAAAGTGGTATTCAGTCCACTTTCACATAACATGAAGAAAAACAACTTGTATACATACAACTAATCAAAAGTTACCGATGTGTTTTTGGACTGTTTTAGTTTTCTAATGTAAACTTTACACTGTGTTGCTGTTATCCAGATCTAGGCAACATAGATCTTGACACCTCCTTGCTCAGTGGCATTTGTAAGAAGTACAAACCATTTTGTTTTCTGACTGAGTTCAAGCGTCGACACGGTAATTTGAGCTGGAATCATTTTAAAGCAGACACCATATTATTAAATGAGTCATCTTTAAATCGTCTGCCAGGTAGCAGTGACGCTAATATTCTGTGGAAAGGTTTCAACACCAGAGGAAACAAACACGTATTATAAGGGCTAGTATTGTGCCATACCTCAACAAGTGGTACATTCCCTTCTGTTTGATGCATACTGCAGTTAATAATTATAGATTAAATAAATATATATATTTTCTTATTAGTATTTCTGTTATATTATAGGTAGTTTTTTGGTATATCTTTATTTTGTGTATATATATATATATATTTCAACTTTTTAAAGCGTCTTTTATAATTGTTTGTTCCGTAGTTTCTCTTCTTTTAACTGTGTTTATGTATGCACCACATTACATTGCATTTAGCTGACGGTTTTATCCAAAGCGACTGACGGCCCGTCCACACTACAGCTTCAAAAAAAAGCTTGGCGGCGGGCGTGTCTGAAGCTCGACCAACAACCAATCACATGAATCTCCCGCCGCTGACACACAAGCAGCGGTTTGATTGGCTAGAGCTTGTACTGGCATATGATTTGATTGGCTGACGCTTCCACCGAAAGCTTCAGAAGCTTCAAAAGTTGAACATTGCTCAACTTTTGCAGCCTGAAACGCCAGGAAAGCTCCGCTCTGCTACCCACAATTCAGTTCGGCGAAAAGCGAGGCAACGTGACGTCACCCCATTGAACAGTGAATGGGCAGCCGCGTGGACCCGTTTTTGAAGCTGTCGAAGCTGCGTAGTGGGAGGACGGCGCCGCTAAGTGTTGCACGCGCCAGATGACGGCTCTAGAAGCTGACTCAGATAGGAAGATACGGTGATCTTATGCTGATGATCAGAGATGGGGTCCGTTACTAAAAGAGAAGTAAGCTATATTAGTGTTTACGTTAACTCATGGGGGCGGGGGTGCCTCAGGTGCGGAGCGGAGCTGCTAGAAAAATATAAACCATCATAACAAATGAACTTAATTAAAAAAAAAGATAGATTTATAGTAAATCAGCACTGCTTGCGAGATAGATAGACAGATAGCAGCCAAATATGTGTGGCCCATGGAGCACTGCTATTTTGACAGGAAAGGAGGTGCAGCAGCGCGTCGGGTTGATCGATTCTTGTTCCGTTTTCTGTGACTATCTAGACGCCACCCTCTCAGATTTCAGTTTGCGCGCGCTACTAGAGAGCCGTGTTACCAGGCCGAAACCAAACAATGTGTTGCTGTATTAACAGTCCGATATGTGGAAACAGTCGCTGACCGCTAATCTGATTTTGGTGCAGAAATCGGAGAAACGCGGGAAGCAAATTGATGACCCGGGAGCAACCCGGGAGAGCGGCAGTGAAATCAGGCGTTTGGGGCAAGTGTGCAGGCCTACCCACATAAGCTAACAAGTCTGGTGAAGTAGAGACACTGAGATTAGATGAAACCAGTTCAAGACCGGCATCTATTTTATTCTGTATATTCTTTATGAGCGCAGGATCCGCGTGCAAGGTATCTAAGATGGCTATGGTATTCTACTTTAGTATTCCGGATTAACTGTAGCTACAGGAAGATGGGTCAACACTCATGTGGTAGAGACATGGCAGACAATGCGCCTACAATTGAAGGGCCGCACTTGAATGGCTGTCTCACGTGAGGAGGCAGATCAGAACCAAGAGAGCGAAGCGCCGCCGCTTGAGGCGAGCATTTACGAGTGGGAGAAGCAGAGCACAATAACACAAGACAACAACAGCATGAGGGCTAGGGTATTTAGGTGGTCTTTTTTGCGCTGAATACGACGTACGCAGAGAGGATAAGAGAAAAACCCCCCTGCGTGTCGCCTTATGCCCTAGACGCTACCGATGAGAACTCAAAAATCAGTTTCAAGAGTCCGACACTGCAGGGTGGTCTTACGCGCCACGGCATGATGACAGCGCTGACCACAGGTGTGTTTCGCAGGCCCCGAGGACCGCTGACGGAGGCGCCTAGCATTGTGCGGCTTTATCATGTTGATTCGGCCAGCAACAGAAAAAGAACTCAGGACTCTCGGCCTCGGTTCCAGAAGGGGCAGGTGCAGCAAAATGGCCAAACGGGCGGTTGCCCGCCAGAGGGCAACATTAGCCGGTACCTGTGCACGTCATCTGCAGGCAGTGTAACAGGCTCTGGCCTCGGACACGTTGCGCCGCTCACCGGTCGTATTCGCCTGTCTATTCTTCGGGCGGAACTCAAGAATAGATGGGCCGATACGCTCCACCTTCGACAGTTATCGCTGACTCCGCCGGATGTTTATGCCAGCAGCTGCAGTGAGATGTGGACGGAGCATTAGCGTGGGCCTCATGATGATAATGGGACACATGGATGTCTGCACTCAGTGTCACGGACTGTAACGTAATGTTACTTTGACCGCTTGGTTACTTATGTTGCTGGCAGATATTTAAGTAAGTTCTTAACGGCCGTAATAGTCAGATTGCTCCTGAACATGGGGAGGGTGACGTCATTCGGTATTTCGTTTTCACGCTTCCACAGCTGCTGGTGATTTGTCTTGCCGGACTCTTTCCTGCATAGCGGGCAGTTTAAGACTGTGATTTCCAGTAGAATTGATAGCTTTAAACTCCGCAACTGAGCGCCTCTGAGTTGGTCAGCAGGCGTCGCTTTCACGGAGTGGAGTGTCTTATTCTGGCAACGAAATTGATGCTCGAACAGCGCGGAACCTGTGGTGTTCTTTGATGAAGTTCCATTGAGATGTACCGTCGGGTAGAAGCTGTTGAGACAGCCGTCGGTAGGAAGCGGAAACCCAGAGTTAACCCTGGAAGTTACCTCGCTGAACGGAAAATCGATGTTCGGTGTACAGGCAGCAGGCCATGCTGTAGGACGTCGCTGGTTCGGTATTGTTTAAGGTTTTCCTTTTGTTTTCCTGCATTTTTTTTCTAAACTTCTGTTTCTTGCGTGAGTCCTCAGTGATCCCCCATCTCCCCAATTTGCTATGCCCAGCTGACTTTGTTGTTGCAGTAGTTGCTCTAAGAACTACAATGAGTTCAGTATACTGAGGTACAGCTAACTTCAAGTGGTCTCTGGGTCTGCATTTGCGTCAAGGTATTGATGTTTAGTTCTTCATGTGTCACATACACTGGCCTAAATTCTCTGGTTGTCCACTTCCTGCTCTCTGGTCTGTTACTTTGCGTTGCCTCACATCGTCCATCCTATCCATGTCTCTTTACTTTACTTCACTTCATCGCCCTCTGCTCTGCTCTCCTTCATCTACTCTTCTCCTTATATCATCTTCTTTCCCTCTTTTCAATTTGCATTTGCCTAAATGTTAAGTTTGAGAAGCCGTCAAGTAGAGGAAGTGCAAGCATAAGTAGCAGCAAGCATGGCACGAGTAGCTGAAGAACTACAAGAAAAGAGTGAGTGGAAAGGTATAGGGGGAAATTGGCTGGTAATGGTTCAGTGATAGCCCCCCTTCCACTACGTTAACAGGGAGCACAGAGAGAGGCAAAAGTGACACAAGTTGAATGTCCAAGCAGTACATGTTGTTGACATTGTGCATGAGTGCTTTCGTCTAAAGATGTGATGGAAATGAGCTTACTCCTCACCTCAGCGGCCTGCTGAGTATAAGTAGGATGAAGAAATGGGGTTTTGTGCCCTCTCTTCTGTGTCTCTCTGACGCTCGTTGGACGTTAGAGAGACATGGCCAGACATGCAGCTTGTGGACCAAGTCCTCAGTAGTTAGATCTAGTTCTACCGTGCCATGGTCTCATCGTGCTCTGCACTTCTAGGTGGGTTTGAGATCGCTTTTGTCCAAAGACACGCATAATCTCTGAAAATCTACTGTGGTCTGCTCCGCGCGTGGTTGTAAAAGTACCACTTTGGTGGTAGTGGACATTTGACGGGTGTTAGCGCTTTGCGTTCGCAAAAATCGGTGCATGAGCACATGTAACTCTTAAAATGGTACCCATTGCCTTCTTGCATCTGAGCCCTTTCGCAATGCTGCAATATGATGTTTTAGGTGGTATGCTTGGATTTAGATAAAGTGTGCTGCTTGGGCCTCAGTGAGTGTGTGTGTGTTCAAGCGGGGTTTACGAGAATATTATTAAGATACGAATAGGTTATAAGTGAGAGTTCACATTGCTAGCTAATAGCTGTTGATGCAGATGGAATGCAGTTTGTTGGTGTGTGTGTGGTGTGTGTGTGTGTGTGTGTGGTGTTGTGTGTGTGTGTGTGTGTGTGTGTGTGTGTGTGTGCCTGTTGTGCTCGTGTGTGGTTGTGTGTGTGTGTGTGTGTGTGTTGTGTGTGTGGTGGTGTGTGTGTGTGTGTGTGTGTGTGTGTGTGTTGTGTGTTGGTGTGCGTTGTGTAAAATGCTTAGTTTTTAGAGCACTTTGAAAGAAGTGTGCTATATCATGACGCGGTTGAGTGATCGCTCACTGACAGCCTGCTCGGCATTTGCGAGAGTGCTCACTATCTACATCCGCAGAGGGTTACGGAGACAAGGACACAGAGGGCAAACAAGAGGAGTAAAGGCTGTTAGGACTAGACTGGGAGTTAGAGGTGGATAGGAAATAATGGTTATATTATATATATTTTTGTTCATGGTTATTAGTAAGGTGCCCCCCACCCTATTGTTACTCTCTCATGCATGACTAGCTATCTCATGTGTTTGAACAATCTGGTATAGCCTTTACTTGTTCATTCTCCTTTGAGCACAATGAATGTATAAGTGTAATCGCTTCGTTACGTTCCAACTTTACGCGTTCACGATGGTTGTTCAAATGTAAGAAATCGAGCTTTGAAGGTCCACGACGATGCCTACCAATTGTTTAATGTTCTTCTTTAGGGTAAAATATATATGGGTATTGTCTAGGCTTGAGTGTGTGAGTATCGTCCTCTCTTGTATTGTCTTATTAAGTGTGTATGCTGTGGATCCCTTGACTGGTCAGCCTGCCCCTCTTTTACGGTCTGAGAAGAAGCAGAACCAAGAATTGTTGATCGCATTATTTCGTGTGACTTACCGACGTCGTTACGTATCTCACAACATTTAATAGGTTCGCACGAGTTTAGATCAGTGAACAACAAAACAGTTTGGAGTTTTTACAGTTACCTTAAACCTTCTGGTAAGTTATGATTGGCATAAATTAAGAAGCAAAGATTAGTGTTGCTGATTTCGTTTTCTAATGGGTTGTAGGATTTGACATCCATTGTTCTATTCTTGGCTGACGATGATTTGGTGATTTTATTATCTCTATTTTCGCCGTACATAGTTTCGGACTTTCTCACGCCTTGACATGGATTTTGCTCCAATCCAAATTTCTTAAAAGAGTCAAAATGAAATTAACAAAGCAAACAGAACAAAGCGATACTAGCCTACCGCTAGGATGGGATTGTGCTCAAATAAGGCGTCATGCGGTTCTAGCTGTCTAGGAATGTCGTTAAAGGTGGGGTAGTAAGTTCACTTAGTAATGTGGCCCGCTACGCTGCCTGTCAGCGCGCGCCGTTCATCTCGTGCACGAAGCGGATCGCATGCTCTGGTGCCTGCGCGCCCTCACGTATGGTCATGTGCGCCATTCGTGTGTGTTGATGAAGGGGATCTGTAAGGAAGTTGGAGGAAGGGGCAGATTTCTCGGTTCAGGTTGTGTAACATTAAAAATTCTGTAGGCGCGTGACTCCAGCTGGCTCTCTCCATCTTACCCATACCTCACAATATTAAGTGCTTGTCAGGAATTGTGGTGTCTTGAGGTACTTAATCGCCAGGAGTTCCTCTTTGATCGATGTCAGTCTCGGTTCGTTGGACAAGATTGTTGTCTTTCAAAGGGGCCTTAACTTGTTCGGCCCGGTGCCTACGACCCGTGCAGCCTGGACCGCCACCGCACCAGGCACAACGCACCCCCGTACACACCGCCGTCTCTCTTATATCGAAACTCTATGAACTAATCATGTTTCCTAGTAAAAACTACATATTAATGTCGTTAATGAACGTGTTCGCACGTTAAAAGTGGATCTTTCTCATAGTTTTTTGTTATGCCTGGTGTCTGGTGCGTTAGAGAAAAAGTGCGGGCAGCACGATGCAGGGGGATTAGAAGAAATGATTTCAATGGAGTGCGAATAACAAGATGATAATGACGTTCTTTAGACCTTTCCTTTTCTGTTCTTACGAATGTCAACCGCATTGTCTCCTCTCTGCGCTCACTTCTCTCCGTTGCCTTGATGACTGCTTATTTCCAGATAGCTTTTTACTCAATAACGCATGCTGGTGTTTACAAACATTGGAGAGAGCAATGTTCTACTCGAGGTTGTGTATTACCTTGTTTCAGTCTTGGTAGCGTACGGCGTCAGGTAATAAAGTGCTGGGCTGGTGCGTGTCTGTTTGTCGTTTCTGTTATTCTGTATAAAGCATGCACATCGACGATACAGTTTGTCAAGTGGCGCTCTTGACAGCCTGGTCTTAAATGGCTGGTGGGATGTGCTGTTGACGACTCGCTCTTCGTATGGTGCCCTGTATTGTGCTGTTGCTTTTGTGTACTTTAGGGAACATGGGCAGCGTCGTGTTGTGTTGTGGTTTTAGTGAGTTTTTATTGACGGTGTCGTTTCTGTCTGCCGCTTAATTGGCTAACGGGCCAGGAGGCGTGGTTGACAAATATGTTGTCGGGTAAATGTAACTTTCAGTGTTTGGTTTTTTGGTGTTGGTGGTGTGTTTTTT